AAAGCCTAGACAGGGAAAGTCGAGGGGTCGGGTTCGAACCATGAACCTTCCGGTCAGCAAATTCGCGCTCTAACCACTGAGCTATCTCGCCCCCTGAGTATGGGTGATCGCTTCCAGAACATCATATAGTCCAGGTTTTCTAAACGAACAACCAGGAGAGCTTCGTGTAGGGCAGTACCTCCGAGAACGTCAAGTGGATCAGACAGCTTTTTATCACTCATGGTTGGTTGGATGAGTGTTTGTGGATTTACTCAGATTGGCTGCAAACTCGGTCATCTATAAGTAGCTAAGGAGATTGTCTGAATGTAACACACTACTCATAAGCTCACTGAAAACTTTTCGACAGCGGTTTTCCACAACTCACAGTAACCACAGAATGAAGCAGTTGAAATCGGATCATCAGGTACGACAATACACGGAGAATGTGGTCAACCCTAGGTCAACTGAAAGGCTTTTTTCTAGTTGAATTTTAGCCGGATGGATGTGGTCGGATCGACTTCGTCACTGTACCAGTTTCGGCCTAAAGTAATCATAAACAAAGCTCAGATCACATTTGCAGTGGGATAAAAAAATAGCCGGACAAAACCCACGTCCTGGAATCAGACAACTGATATTGCATGCAAACTATAAAAAACCTGGGTATGGGGCAATGCCTTTTCCACCTCATATCAGTTCGGAAATCTCGCCACTCCATGCCTTTTTCCAACGCACCTCAGAGTGACACTGACAGGAATACCGCTTCATTAAATACGAAGCACTTACACCTTGACTGGAGGCCTAATTATGTTAATGAATGGGCAAATTATCACAACATATAAGTTACTAAGACTTTGATAAGACATATTGGAACATCAGTAGCTCGGGCGCATTTACAGGTTTTTGAGCAGGCGGCAGTTGACTTTCAAGTGCTTGCGAGCCAACTACCAAACTCAGTGAACAGATCAACAAACATCCGGTCAACAACCTTCAAGACGGGCACGAAGATCCACACATTGAATACTTAATGCTGCCATTCGTTGTCGTGGCTGGATAGCAACGTCAGATAATTTAGCAGCACGTGGTGCTTCACGCCATTCGCATAATCAAGAGCCGGCCCTGCTCCATCTTTCGAAGATGTTGGATTGGATCACCTGCAGTCAAGATACGGCATTAACACAATGAGCGTACAAAACTGAGATGGTATGTTCCCTCAAACGGCAGTGCAAAGGACTCGGCCAGATGGCTTAAAAAAGCTGTGGAGGCTAAGGGTCAGAAAACATTATCGTAATTTTTCTTGACGTGACGGGACCGTGAGGTGATCCCATGATGGCTGTTGCCATTACTTACTTTTTGGAGTGTTTTTAAACTAGCCGCTCAAAATAGTATTGTGAATTTTCTGCACTGAATTCTAGTGACATTTTTCACATGCAGGCCAAAATCAATCGAAATTCTAACCAGGAGTGGAGCAATTGTGAAAAACATGGGCGATACTATTGTCCTGTCGCTGCGTGCGGCGTGCATTGGTTTCAAAGGGTTCACAGAACTTCAAACTGTGCAAGCTACTGTCACACACGTGAGTAGTCAGAGGTTAAACTTGAAATAAATATGAACGGAGTTATTTTAGCCAAAACCAGATGCTCTGACGTGTCTTGACTGGCAGCATCCGAAACAGACGATTTCTACCAGAAGTTTTCGTCTTTTTATGAACGACCCTCCTATGACCCAGTAAAAGCGTCAAGATGATTCGTGGAAAGGTTGGAGACCTCACTTTGATCTGTTCGCTTGATGTCACCTACAAATACTTGAAAATATTGAAAATCGCACATACTAATCTCAGAGGTATCAAAGATGGAGGGAGTAAAAATACAGAGAAAAAGGATTATCTGTTAACTTACCCGGATGGGACCATTATCGGTCAACCGAGTAAGCAATAACAGTCCTCGAAGGCGCAGCTCAGCTTCGCTTGCCATAGTCAATGGATCTGTACCCCCAGGTGACTTATCTGTCACCGATTCTCCAGGTGACCGATTCAAACGGCATCCTTGCTCCAGCAGCTGGAGAACAATGTCCAAGCAGGTGTCCGTGGTGGACCCGCTTGGCTTCATCAGTAGCGCCGGGCCAGATGTTTGCAAACACCGAGAGAAGATCGCAAGACCGACGGATCGTGGATGCCAGCTGCCCGATTCTGTTTGGCTTGCTTTGAGACGTTGGAACAGCTTGGACGAGGAAAGACGCAGCACAGTGTTATCAGCGATTACTTAAGCATGATTGGTTTTTGAGTCCAGATTTTCGACCAATCAGAGCTGGACTTGATCCTGGACCGGCAAGCGGTCCGATCTTTTGGCCAATCGCATGCCGGATAGGCAGCGATTAAAATGCCAGCGGTAAAGCAATACCGGTGCTGAATTCCACCTAATAGATGGGTTAACTGTAGCAATCCCAGAAGCACCCACCCTAACTCCTTCGTTACCAATAAACACAGATTTATGTGAAAGAGTATTTAGAAGTATTACCGCAGGGGAAGAATTTCAGCGAAAGCTGAAACAGGAACCCCTGAAATCGTTAATACAAGGTGAATCGATATAAGGAAGGGGAGCAAAACGAAGGCTATAGATTCACATAACAAGTAAAGTGAACATTCATACAAGTTGAACACAGCCGGCGTGTGTTTTTCGTGAGATTAGCAATTTCGTCCCTTGTGCACCAGTGAAGTGCGTCCAAGTGACCTGCTAACCTCCGCTCGCTAGTCCCTACTCACTGACTTCTCGAAGCAGCAGTGCATCCCCTGAAGTGGAAGGAGAAAGTTGAACCCAGAGTCCAAACCAACAGCGATTACTCGTAGCCAACAGTTGCGATTGTGGTATTCAGGTGTCTTCTGAAGGTTCCCCACTATATAAGCAGGTGTAACCCAAACAAACGATGAGAAGCTTTGGTACGACTTGTGCCAAATCCCCAGGAAACCTAGATGTTGATGACTCTTACGGTGAAATTGACTGGTTGGATGCTAAGTCTTTCGATCGCTGAAAGTTTCAGTAACCTTAGCGAATATACACTCATCTGCAAACTAATTTGGTTCTTTCGAGAGACTCACCTGGAACCCAGCTGAATCTCTCGTTTATGATGTTCTCAGGCAACTGAATGTGCTGCACCAGGCCGCCTCATGTTTCAGTCGCTACGATATTTGAAATATCGCGATACATGTATATGCGTAATTTCAGCAACCTTATGAGTAGTACATTACACATATTCAGTAACCTTGTTCGCGTGTCTATTCGTTCGGTAAACCATTAAGGTTGCTTGGGTATCCAGTTGAAGATGTCTTAATACTTCTGTTGGAACCGGATTCGTAAAACTAGGGAGGCCATTTCCAGTCATTTGGAAGGCACACGGAACCTATCAAGTGACTATTGCTTCAAAGAGATTTGGTAAAAAGTCGATGGGCAATGTTTCGCTGTTTACACAGAAGAATGGTCTGGCCAAATAAATAAGTTACCAGGCTGAAGAGAAGCCAATCAGTAAGATTTCACGGAATTAGCTTGCCTAATCAGTGCTGAATGTTAGTCAGAAGCTATTTAGACGAGTCACACTAGTCATGAGGTCATTGAAAACTCCCCGACAACCCACAATCGGTTTCGTCTGTATTGAGGCTGATCAGATAGCAATATTCCCCGAGTTTCCCTTCAGTCAACCTGTTCTACTTGAAAACAAATTTTTACATGACTCGCGAATACACTCTTTTGCAAACCAATTTGGCTCTGAGGGGAAATTCAACTGCATTCTGGCTGGATCTCCCGCTCACGATATTCTTCATATGAATATGTTGCACAAAGGATGACATTCAAGATATCACAGTACCGTGTCTAGAAACTTTCTTTGCAGCTGGCAGGTTTCTAACAGTAATTTTATTTGATAATCAAATACAAACTGACAGTTTAGGAACAATTACAGCACTAATCAAGCGTCAGAGACTGGTTTGGTGTCACGATTATCAAACTTCGAACGACCGCCGGAAGCTGTTGCACAAACAAGTAACCAGTCTCAAGTTGGACGGCAGCCGAACTATGACCGGTGCAAAAAGCAGATGTTGCGTTATCTAACTAATTTCGTTTCTGGGACAGATCTACCAGCCACATCTACACGGGTAACACCGCCTGTTCTCCTCTACCGCTTCCCCTCGACGTTGTGAGATAGTGTAACTTCCAACGGCAGTGAGACCAAGTACTGTGACTATCTAGGATATTCGTTGAACGAAGATCACTTTGGAATAAGGAGGAACGGAAAATTTTCCGCTGAGTTCTGGAAGGCTGTTTGGCGATTAGAGAGAACTCAGAGAATAAATGTTCAGTTTCGCTAAACTCGCATTCTCATGCATGGAGATATCGAGTATTGGGGATGTGCCAGCTGAGAGAGACCAGCGTAGATAGTAGTACGGTGAAGAATTTTACACAATGAATAATCAATCCCACGATGACATCGCGCAAAATCACCTGGAGGATATGTTGAGTACCAAAGCAAAAAATGCGAAAAGTCGAAGGTCCGACTTGCCTACCGGCAACATGTGTTTCACATAGAATCGATCTAGGTCGTCGGGAATGGTAGGTTCCAGAAGACTCGTTTGATAGAACGGCTGACCAGATTCAGGCCCTGGAGTTGGTCGTGGCTGCAAGCACTCGTAGCCGGGATCTTTCGAATACACTCCGATGTCTCGTTCACACGATGCCAGTCGACGCATGACCTCGTCTGTTAGTTGTAGTAGGGCTGAACCAAAATCGGTGGCGCATGACTCGTTGTCTGCCCAAACGGCACCGACGGCCAGAAGGATTTCGAATAACCATGATCTCAGCTGATAGAAACAAAGAAGGTGTGAAGACACATTTCAAACATTGTCCGGAATTTTCGGTAGTAGCTCGAATTCAAATTCAAACTATACACATCAAGCAGCTCGAGTCAAAGAGATCATTAAATATGGCTGCCTCGCCGTCGGACTGCGATCTTTGCCAAAATCCTGCAAAGTTCGCGGAGTCATCAAGATGTACTATGCATGGTACGTTTATTCCGACAAAACGCTTTCAAGGGACTCGGATTTTGAAGTAGTTGAAGTATCATTCACACATCTGTTGACGAGATAATAAGTGCAAAGCACTTCACGAAGTGTGTGAACAGTCAATTAGGAGGCAACTAGGCCATACAAACGAGGGTCTACAATGTTAACCAGCATACTGCCAAGTCCGTACTGGTGGAGGCAAACACGCTAAACCTGCAGAAGGAGGACGAGAAATTGAGTAGGAAAAAATCGTTCAGCTGTACTTCCTTTTCGGTGCCTAGCTGCCATGCCACCCGGAGTAAGCACCAGGGCTGGGATACTGCCAGGTTGCCCAAGTCTAGACAGGGGATGTCGAAAGGCAGATATCGGGTTCGAACCACGGACCTTCCGGTCAGTAAATTCGCGCTCTAACCACTGAGGTAAATACATATAATAAAGACGAAACATCCTTAGGCAAGACTCGAACCTGTAGTCTCTAGCTTACCGGATGAATTTAATATATGCCGGCTGATTCACCTCTATGGCTCTGTCGGTTGCGCATAGCGCGGCCAATCTTCCTCTGTTGCTCAAATAACAGAGCACTGATTCGACAAGTGAGGGCACACGGATTCGAATCACACTTTTTCGTTAGCGGTGTGTGCCTCCAGATTACCACCCTGAATCGTACAGTTCATCGTTTCTCATAGGCCAATTCGAAGTGCCTTAGTTGACCGGGCAAAACGAACGTCTGCCTCATCAAGGAACTCACACAAGAGACTCAATAATGGTGATGACAAATATCAACTATCAACCTAATCGACAGAAGTGTGACCAATCAATGTGAAACGCAGTCTGTAGAGCACTCGTCCAACAAGAAAGAGCTGGCAAAATCCCATTAGAAAAAGCATTCAAGCGAAAATATTCAGAAAATGTTCGCAGAATAATGGTGGATTTTTTCGTTTTGTGAAGGATAGAATATACCGATAGCGTGGCGACTCAGCTTCCGAAATTCGGAAGATGTTACATGAATTTACACTAACTTATTCACTGCATATTACAACCTTATTATCCTATCAAAGCTCTTTCAATTGTCCGATATCGCTCATTCGTTCACTTCGGGAGAAAGTATGGCCCCCAGTTCGAGTGTGAGTATACCTGCCGTTGCGGCAGACACCCCCCAAAAAGCATTCAAAGAAACGACTGTTTTCAAGTTAGGGAAAACGAAGAACTATACAAGACCCATCAAACTGGACGGAATCTTCTGCCATCTGGAGTCTCCTTGGTAGATAGCAGAAAGAAAGAGTGCGAAAACTCTCTCATTGGAGTTAGCAAGAGACTCAACTGAGTCTCTCGTTTACGACACTCCTAAAACGAATGTGCTGTCACCTGCTGCAGTTGGTACGACATTCAATATATCAAACCATATTCTCTTAACCTAACATGAGAGGTTAAATTGAGCCTCTTGTTAATGCCAATGTAATTTGCAAGGCTGTGTACTTCGCCACTTGCGTATAATGTGCTGCTCAATTATAACACAATGCTGATAAAGGCTCGGGAACTGTGCCTACGTGATAAGCTTCATGAAGGCCTAAACCGGCAGTGGATTGCCGCACAGATGGTATTAAGCCGAGGAAGTCCAAGGTTCTTAGCGCAAACGATCAAGAATAGAGTGCCCACATTTGAAAACAACACTGAAATAAACACACCTGAACATTCTGTTGCAGTAAGGTGCCATCAGCGGGATTGATCCAGAGTATTTTGGACAAATGAACTTTGACTTGGTAGTCCGGTTGGGAACTGACAACATGCGCGTTAATGGGATCGGTTATGTGCCATGTCATGCAGGGTCTCCAGTCATGTGCAAGAATGATCAAATGCAACCAAGTCAGGAGGGTGTGGAGATTCAACAGTATTTCGTTTAACTGTAGCCGACTTCATCTCACGTTGCCATGTTACAGTTTCTCGTCCGTAAAAATTTCGCCAACCGGGTTTTGGGACGGACAACAATACACCTGCATTGGTAGACGGCGGTTGAGCACCAACCGCCAAAGCCTCATAAATTATGTTTGAATCGTCACCAGGTATCCACTTATGCATCATTTCGTTGCGTACCCGCTGCAGCCAGCTGATTTTCTATGGTACGGAGACACGGAAAATCAAACGTCTAGAGATATTTAGGGTTCACCGACCAGAAAAGCCATGTCTCGTGATCACAAGCAAGATCACCGTTGCCTTGTACACACCTCCACTTTGCTTCTGATGCCAAAACTTTCCAGTGCTAACCGCGCCTTTAATGTGAGTGCTTTTTAGCTAGAAAGCAACCCTCTGATTCTCACGTGCGAATGCAAACCAGTCGGATGTGTTTGAAGCTATGGTGACCTCGGATGAAACTGAGGTGAAACAAATAAAAGAAACTCCGGGATACACACACACACACACACACACATTTACCCACCTGCTTGTCCTTCACAAGGATTGTATCGGATGCCGAGGAATCCACATCCTCCGCAATCCTATCCTGTGTCTCCTTCTCCGTCGACTCCGAATCAGTATTTGGACCGAAGCGCAGGCGAAAAATGGCCTCCTCCAGACGACGTACAACTATGGAAGCAAACTCTAGCAGAGCTGCCTTTGCCCCAAATGAAATGACGGATAGTAGATCACTGTTAATCAAATAGACAACAATATTGTGTATCAGAATAGATGAGCTGGTGTCACTTCCATCGGCCATCGTCCGATCGGAGTCCATGAGCGAGGTGAGCTGATCGTGGGGTGCTCCACTCACGAGACCGGCTAGGAGGAACAAGTGACCAGCCAAGGAAGTGGGAGCGTTAGATTCTGTACATCGATCCAGACAGGGTTTGAGTAATTGCCACCAGAGCTGAATAGAAGCAGAGATGGGCATATCATGAAACAATACGACAGTGCTCAGGAAAGATGGCAGCCGATCTAAATGGTTTAAAGAACAAAAAAGTGAAGTTTGCATGAACTAAGTAAATCCATTGCTTCGAAGCCAATAATTGTGGTCGGTCCTGGTGATCTCCTATCATAAAACCAATGTTCAATGTTCACTCTTATTGGATTGGTAGTTTTTTCTTAAAATCAGGGCTGTGTCCTCGGGAGAATAGAGGAGCAATGTATCTAATCTACACTTGAGACGTAGTACATACCACAGACACTTTTGGGGGCAACCAGATAAAGCGAGACAATGGCGAACAAAACTCCTTGTTCCGAATTATCGTATTGGGGAAAGACCGAAATCCGTGGCACCCAGACTTCGAAATTCGTCATGCAGTAGGGCACACGGGACATTCCACGTGTCCCATGGAACGGTGCGCACGCACAACCTCACTCCTTACATAGCAGATCTCAATGATGGTATGCCTCAAATCCACTCGTCCCAGCTACAAGCCACCAAACGCTAAATGCGTACAGAAGCAACGTTGGCATTATTCACGCTATTTTTGATGAAGCACGGAGCGCCAAAACCATTCGATGCGAACTTCACCCTGAGGGGTGCATGTTAGCACAAGTCGTTCATGGAAAAAAGAAAAGCTGTCTGATAGGGACTGTTTGAATGTAGGGACACACTCAGTTGCACTGTATCCAGTTGGCGCATCGAATCGTGAGCAAGGTAGAAGCATTGTGGTGAAATTAATATCTGTTATTTTATACAAAACCCCGAAGAGGTGTATGGCATTCATCCAGAGATAGATATAACGCCACGATGGGCTCCCGAGAAGGACCCCCAAGAAATATAGGAAGCGAAACTATTTCTAGCTGCAAACCTAATACATATTGCGTAGGGTTATAGCTGCGGTAGTTTCTCTCGCCGATGAACTGAGAAAAACGGGTAGAGAGCTACGTATTGGAGGCATTCGCTGACATAAGTGACGTGTGGATTCAGGCAACAGCTTCGACGCGTGTGTGCCATTTCACAGACAACTGGGTCACGTCTGTCAAAGTTCACAACTATTCACCACCATCATCATCGTCAACGGACGATCATCAACTGTCATTATTAATCACCGATTATCAACAGCAGCATCCCCAGCCCCACCCATCGCTACGCACCAATACGCTCCCCAGTGACGCACTGATGATGTCACTATTAGAATAATGGCACAGTTGTCATCCCACAGTATGTGTGTATCTGCTTAGAAATGGGGTACATTGTTGATGTGCCCCATTCTGCAGACACTTTCACTGCACATAGCATTAACAAGTTTTGACGCATGGGTAACCAAAGATCCGCCAACTTTGAAAGTTTGCATACATATCGGCCGGTTCTGGTACTTCCTCACGTTTTGGCGGGGATAGTTCGCACTTCTGACAAGCAATCAAGGTTTATATCCCAACTACCTGCATTAACCATTTGTAAGGGCTATGTTGCGGGGTGCAGTTAAACTGTTCTTCGAAATGTTTGTTTGTTTGGTGCAACACATACAGTTGAAGAAGGACATCATAAACCAAAGATTCAGATGTCACGCATAAAAACCAGAATGGTAGGAAAATAAGTGTATTTGAGGGAGAGCTCTCTTTTAGAGCATTGTCCCTAGCCACTGACTGAGATCTGACCTGCAATGAAGCTAGAAGTAGGGAAGACGACAGTCTCGGAGGAAGGGCATCGCAATGTTCGCTCGAAAAGACACCCTTGGAACCTCTGGCTCTCCTAACCAATGAATTACAAAAAAACAACACGTATAATATTGACCAGGCCTTGTTACACGGCTGTCGTGCTTGACGGTTAGTGCCACATTGGCAGACTCCTACTAACTGAAACCCAATTCGCTTGGTCAGCAAGTGAGTTGGTGATACAACTGCAGTGTGCATTGAAGGTAGCCACGCTGGAACATAGAACGAGGCAACGCACGATATACCTAGGTGTCAGAAGATGAAATAACCAAATCGTAACCCGCGTTGACAGTAAAACTAGGGAGATTTTCTAGACAATGGAAAATAACCCTTTGCACTGGATCCAGATCACATACCTTTGCTTCGACCAACGATCCGATCAGTTGAGCAGCTAACAGCAATTGTTGAATCACTTTCAACGCCTCTGTGGTTTCGGACGGTTTTGGGTTTAACAAACTAGGGATGCGTGGTACCAGTGTTTCGGGCCCAGTATGGTTAACCGATAGCTTGTACGTAGGAAGTGGTTGGCCCTTGAACGCGAGTGGAGGAACAAGCTTCAGTAATGCCACACCACTGGTAGACGGACCTATTCGACCGACTGCATCAGTGAGTCCCGTGCCAATTCCGGTCAGCAAATGTTGAGTGTGCTGAGTGGTACATTCTTCCAAATGAAGTATGAGGATGGGGATAAGACCAGCTGCTTTAGAACGTGTGGCAGTTTGCCAGTCACCCAAGTCTCGACAAAGAGCCGGCAGGAGACGTGAAGCTGACCGGTAGACTAACTCCCGGCATCCTGTTAAGGAGAATGTAGAAAACATCAACAGACACATCACGGAAGAGGTTGAAAAAACGAGCATTAAAAAGGTGCCTCAGCATCAGCTTCATTCTTTCCACGTGCCAGAATCCCACTTTTCATCAGCAGCTCGAGGATTGAACGAAGCATTCACATGACGGAGTAATCCATGAATTACTTGTGAATTATCATTCGAGATTACCACATTCTGTAAACGAGAAAGTTACGTCCTATCTGAAACTGTCAAAACACAACAGAAAGGAACCAGCAAACGGACCAGATATATTCTATTGGTGACGGGGGTGGCTAGCTAATCCTTATATACTAACTCGGGGAACGGAGCCGATTAAGTAAACCCAATAAGGGCCTTTTGTTACCGGTTATAGGTTCAGTAACAGCCTGACACAACAGATTTCTGCCCATGGCGACTTGTAGAAATCACTCCGAGGCTCTTTGGCTTCGAGTATGGCGGCCAGCTGAATGAATAATTCGAGTATGTCATTATTCATTGGCGTAAAAGGTTACAAAATGGTCTGACTGTTTGATTTCTGGAACGCGTACATTCGGAGACATTTGCTTACGAGGCCATTGTTTGGCTCGTTGGAAGATGCCTAAACAGAGTGAAAAGCGGGTGAATACCGCAGTCGTCCATTTGTGATTGGCTACTGTGTGGCAGACAAGCAAGCCTTATAGAGATCACACATAGGAGGTATCCGTGCCTGGTAATTTTCAAGAAGATCTGCGTAAATGGCCACCTGGCCTAGTTTCGAACGTTTGGTTGGAAACCAAATGACACCCGAGTTGGTGGCACATGACTAGACAACTGCATACACCTAGGGTCCGGGAATTTTCCACATCCAACTTGTGAAGCGCGCGTCTAAACAACTGCAGTCGACGCTGCACCGTCGGTTTTGATACCACATCACAATGTTTTTGAACGGCTTCATTAAGAACATATCTTTTAGGGGCAGTGCTTAGGTAACAATGGACAAATATCCATAATTTCCAAAAACCCTCATACTGTGGTAGTCAGGTCTTATACCTCCGATGCCATCTCATTACATTTGCGAAGCAAAGAAGGGGTAGAAGTTTGATAGATCCAGGCTTCAATTTCGAGGCCGGGCTCCAACCTATGCCAAAAGACAACTTTGAGTCGAGGAGATACCACTGTAGCGCCCTTGGCTACATTCCTAGTTCGCGTCCGCTTGACCGTTTAATAGAATGTGGAAATCGTGATATGCGGACAGGGGCGTTATTTCGACACCGGAGTTCATTAAGGCGAACGGTAGTTTGTTGAACAAGTAAAAAAGCCTTCGTTTTCGAATCAATTTGGTTTGGTTGAGAAATTTTGAAAAAATGTTTTTTTACCAATTTAGGAATCTCCAGCTTGCAAAATAGGGTTGTCGGTCTTGAACCACAAATGACTATCTTCAAATGTTTGTCGAGCTGAGCACTTGATCAGATATGGTTGGGAGGGCGTCAGGTAAACAGTTGCTGAGTTTGTGCTCGCGATGAACAGGTCGTGTAGAACTAACGAATATTCGAATGGACCACTACTGTCTACCGGACGCAGTAACATAAACTTCCACAGAAATGGCTTCTGTGCTCGCAGATCATTCCCGAAAAGTCTCATCATCATCATCGACAGCATGACATCGGTGTTCAACACCGATGCTTCACTGCCGTACAGCCATGACTTATTTGAAAGCCTTATTGTAAGGAAAAGAATAAAGGTGGACGGGGGAGGGACTTAGTGCTAGCTTAACACAATCATTCCGAGGTGCCTACACCTCCAGACATTCACTTAGGCAATCTGGATAGAGACTGACAACAAGAACGCCACTGACATCGGTTGGCAGCCATATCTTGTAGTGTCTCCAACCAGGCACAGTGAGGATCACGCAGTTCCCATCCTGGAAGGCGAGTAGCACCGACAGCACCCAAGCGTTTCGTGATCTCCTTCATACTCCTCTGCCAAGTCAGGAGTTGACCATCTCTCTGTTTACGCCACTCTTAATTGGGCATGGAAAACAACACTCTCTTCGGCAAACGATGGTTCGGCATACGTAACACATGTCCCAACCAACGCAGCTTCTGGTGCTGGACACATTCTTCAATGGAAGTACCAGTTACACAACCGAAAAAGCCTCATTACGGATTCGCCGACACCAATTCACACGAGCTATGGTTCTGAGACAACGACTGTCGAACACGTGAAGACGTCTCAGCTCCGCTGCTCGAATAGGCCAAGTCTCAAAGCCATACAACAAAACAGCCCGTACTGTAGCTTGATACACAAGTCCCTTCAGATTCAGGGATAAACCATTCTGACGCCATAGGTGTCTCAAGTTAGCAAACGCGGCCCGAGCCTTGCAGATTCGTGCATTCACCTCATCTGTCACACTACAATCAGAACTAATACAACTTCCAAG